CACTGGTGTGAGGGGGGCAGGTTGAGAGCCGGGGTGTATCCAAGTGGGGGGGGGGTCCAGGAGAGGGAGCTTGAGGCGAGCAGGAGAGCGGGTCGGTCAGGGTGAACGGAGAACGTGTCTGAGCGCCGTTCGGGAATCCTATGGAGCACGAGTGAAGAATCCTGGGGTGTAGCAGTATCCTGAGGTGTCGGGGGAAAAACCTGAAGGCAGGTAATCACAAACATCCACAATCACGAGAGTAGAAAAACTCTAGAGTCTCAAACACCTAGAAGACACGACGAGGGCTGGAAACTACCAAGCTGTAGCAATCATCCGGCGTCGAGCTGTGTTCTGCATGTGTGTGTGTGTGTGTGTGTGTGTGTGTGTGTGTGCATGTCTGCATGTGTGTGTGTGTGTGTGTGTGTGTGCATGTTTATGCAGCATTAAGGATTGGCTACATGTATTAAATGATCATTAAGATGTGATATTCCATGTAAATAAGAAAAATCAATTTGATTGGTCTTTGAATGTTTAATCTAATCTTCCTTTAGTTTCTTTGACTATTCAGGAAACACATACTTCATATTTATTAGACAGAATCAAGAATATAGTTTATTAAATGACTTTAATTGTATTTTCCTAAACAAAATGATTACACAAGACAAAGCATAAATGAAATGATGGTTGTACAGGGTGACAGATGATGGAATGGAAGCAAAATGTTTTTGCAGAACCTTGTGAGTAATCTGAGATTGAATTTGTGGAGTCTGGCTAGTAAAAGCAACCCGGCTGTATGGTTTGATAAGCTAAACTTTATTTATAAAACCATCTGACACCAGTGTGCGGAGTCTACAATACCACTGTGTGTGTGTTGCTCCCGGCGGTCTGAAGGACAGGCAGCCAGAGTGGTGAGTTCACCAGACATCGAGACCACGAGAACCCAAAGAGTAGTAGCTCCCTTGGAAGTGTTGCAGAGAGGCTTTGACCTTGAGGTCAAAAGAGAGGATGGTTCCAAATGCTTGCTCACGTCTGGCCAAACAAGGAGGCAGATGGAGAACTACTAGATTAGGAAGGGAGTCCTGTGTATATTAAATGTTGCTTACCAATTCTAGACAAATCAGAATTTGACACCTCAGAAATAACCTTCATTGAGATTCTCAGAGGTTAACTCTCAGTGTGAAGCAAAAATGTTAAACATTATTAATAATCGTATTATAATGTGTATGAGAATACTGATGGATGAACTTGTTAATATAACAAATACTGATCTGGTGTCGTTTAAGATCTGAAATGAATCATTGCAGGAAAAACATTCATTTGAACACATCATTGATTAATGCACACATTATTCAGACACTTTAGGATTCAATAAGAGATGATTAAATGGCACATGGACAGCAGCAGCTCAGGAGGTTGAGCAGGTTGTCCAGTAATCTGACGGTTGCAAGTTCGATCCCAGCTCCGACCAGAGAATTCTGCTGTTGTGTCCTTGGGTAAGACACTTAACCCACCTTGCCTGCTGGTGGTGGTCAGAAGGACCTGTGGCGCCTGTGTTCAGCAGGCCCGCCTCTGTCAGTGCGCCCCAGGGCAGCTGTGGCTGTATTCAGAGTGAACGTAAGTCTTGTCTTCTGCATGAGACCTTGAGCAGAGATATCATGACTTCCTTGTTCGGTAAAAAGCAGTGCTTTCTTGTTTGGAGGCCAGAGAGATGGACTGCTTGTGTCTGCAAATTAAAAGTTAATTTCTGGTCATTTTGTGTGTGTGTGTGTGTGTGTGTGTGTGTGTGTGTGTGTGTGTGTGTGTGTGTGTTAGTGTGTGTGTGTGTGTGTGTGTGTGTGTATTAAAGAAAATGTAACTTTCAAAACCTATTTTAAAAATACAAAACCTTTCAAGTAGTTTTTATGTTGTGTTATGATTCATTCTTCTTACAATGCAACACAGCAATCCTCATAAAATGAATAAAGACAAAGACATTCAAATGCCATGGGCTCACTACTCGTGGGAAGGGCCAAAGGGGTCAGGTGCAGTGTGTGACGGGTGGTAGTCGAGGGCGGGGACCTTGGCGACCTGATCCTCGGCTACAGAAGCTGGCTCTTGGCAGATGGAATGTCACCTCTCTGGTGGGGGAGGAGCCTGAGTTGGTGTGTGAGGTTGAGAGGTTCCGACTAGATATAGTCGGACTCACCTCAACGCATGGCTCTGGCTCTGGAACCAGTTTCCTTGAGAGGAGTTGGACTTTCTACCACTCTGGAGTTGCTCCCACTGAGAGGCACCGAGCAGGGGTGGGTTGCCCCCCATCTTGGTGCCTGTACGTTGGGGTTTACCCCAGTGAATGAGAGGGTAGCCTCCCTCCGCCTACGTGTGGGGGACGGGTTCTGACTGCGGTCTGTGCTTATGCACCAAACTACAGTTCAGACTACCCACCCTTTTTGGAGACCTTGGAGGGGGTGCTGGAGAGCGCTCCTTCTGGTGACTCCCTTGTTTTGCTGGGGGACTTTAACGCTCACGTGGGCAACGACAGTGAGACCTGGAGAGGTGTGGTTGGGAGGAACGGCCCCCCTGATCTGAATTTGAGTGTTTTTTTGTTATTGGACTTCTGTGCCAGTCATGGATTGTCCATAATGAACACCATGTTCAGACATAAAGGTGTCCACATGTGCACTTGGCACCAGGATACCTTAGGCCGCAGTTTGATGATCGACTTTGTTGTTGTGTCATCTGACCTGCGGCCGCATGTCTTGGACACTCGGGTGAAGAGAGGGGCGGAGCTGTCAACTGACCACTACCTGGTGGTGAGTTGGCTCAGATGGTGGGGGAGGATGCCAGTTAGACCAGGCAGGCCCAAACGCATTGCGAGGGTCTGCTGGAAACATCTGGCAGAGTCTCCAGTCAGAAGGAGCTTCAATTCCCACCTCCGACAGAACTTCCAAAATGTTCCGGGGGAGGCGGGGGACATTGAGTCTGAATGGACCCTGTTCCGTGCCTCCATTGTTGAGGCGGCCGACTGGAGCTGTGGTCGCAGGATCGTCAGTGCCTGTCGTGGTGGCAACCCCCGAACCCGCTGGTGGATACCGGCAGTTAGGAATGCTGTCAAGCTGAAGAAAGAGTCCTGTCAGGTCTTTTTGGCCTGTGGGACTCCAGGGGCAGCTGACGGGTACCAGCAGTCCAAGATGAACACGGCTCGGGTGGTCGCCGAGGCAAAAACCCGGGCATGGGAGGAGTTCGGTGAGACCATGGAGCAAGACTTCCGTACGGCTTCGAGGAGATTTTGGTCCAACATCCGGTGGGGGAAAGCAGTGTGCTACCAACGCCATCTATAGTGGGGACGGTGTGCTGTTGACCTCTACTCAGGACGCTGTGGATCGGTGGGCAGAATACTTCGAAGACCTCCTCAATCCCACCGACACGTCTTCCAGTGAGGAAGCAGAGTCTGGGGACTTTGGGTTGGCCTCTCAGATCTCTGGTGCTGAGGTCACTGAGGTGGTTAAAAAGCTCCTCTGTGGCAAGGCTCCAGGGGTGGATGAGATCCATCCGGAGTTCCTTAAGGCTCTGGATGTTGTGGGGCGGTGTTGGCTGACGCGGCTCTGCAGTATCGCGTGGACATCAGGGGCAGTTCCACTGGACTGGCAGACCAGGGTGGTGGTCCTCTTATTTAAAAAGGGGGACCGCAGGGTGTGTTCCAACTACAGGTGGATCACACTCCTGAGCCTTCCTGGTAAGGTCTATTCAGGGGTTCTGGAGAGGAGGGCCCATCGGATTGTTGAACCTCAGATTCAGGAGGAGCAATGTGGTTTTGGTCCTGGCCGTGGAACACTGGACCAGCTCTATACCCTTAGGGGGATCCTGGAGGGTGCGTGGGAATTTGCCCAACCAGCCTACATGTGTTTTGTGGATTTGGAGAAGGCGTCCGACCGCTTCCCTCGGAGGGGCCCTGTGGGGGGTACTCCGGGAGTATGGGGTACCAGGCCCTCTGATACGGGCTGTTAGGTCCCTGTATGACCGGTGTCAGAGCTTGGTCCGCATTGCTGACAGTAAGTCGGACTCGTTCCCAGTGAGAGTTGGACTCCACAACATTTATGGACAGGATTTCTAGGTGCAGCCAAGGTGTGGAGGGCATCCGTTTTGGTGGCCTGAGGATCAGGTCTCTGCTTTTTGCAGATGATGTGGTCCTGTTGGCTTCATCAGAACGTGATCTTCAGCTTTCGCTGGAGCGGTTCGCAGCCGAGTGTGAAGCAGTTGGGATGAGAATCAGCTCCTCTAAATCTGAGAACATGGTCTTGATTCGGAAAAGGGTAGAATGCCTTCTCCGGGTCAGGGATGAGGTCCTGCCCCAAGTGGAGGAGCGCAGGGTGCTCTGACCAGTGAGCTGTCACTCCCTTGCTGGGTCTGTTTTGTGTCGGCTCTGTACGTTTGTGTTGGGTTGGAACAACCGTAATCTAAGCTGAGAGTGACCTGATGCTAAGCTGGGAGCTGCTCTGACCAGTGAGCTGTCTCTCCCTCATTGGGTTTTGTGTTTTGACTGTGGTAACAAAACTTTTTGGACGTGGTGGACCTGTTTTATTTGTCTTCTCTTTTCTTTTCCTCCCCAAAGCTTTGTTAGTTTGGTTTTGTTAGATTCCCCAGCTTTGGGAAGGAAGTTTTGTTATCATTATTTGTTATTTTAAATAAACCCGAGCATTCCTGCTACTGGAAACCTGGTTTTAAGGCTGTGCTATTTTCCTATCTATCTCCTCGAGCCCTCCATCCTTAAGATGGGTTGTAACATGTGTGTGTGTGTGTGTGTGTGTGTGTGTGTGTGTGTGTGTGTGAGTGTTTTCTCCTTCACATTAGTGAAACTAACATCTGAGCTAATGTGGATTCTTCTCTCTTTATTATTAAGTGTTTTTGGGGCAACAGTATTGAGACGAGGCAGTGAGGGACTTCTGACATGTTTCAGCCGTCAAAAGCCTCGCACCTCTGAAGGGCTTCATAAATGTGCAGCTGTCCGTGTCCTTGACTCAGATCTGTTCTTGTGCGTGCAGGATTCTGGCCACGGTGGGAGCGGACTTTGATCTGAGAACGCTCAGAGCGGTGAGAGTATTGCGACCCCTGAAACTCGTCTCTGGCATTCCAAGTAAGCCTTCACATAACATTACCTCTGATGATAATAGCAGGAAGTGAGCGTGGATGTTAGCATTCATTACCTGAGCTGGTATTTGACCTCTTATTTGTTATGAGGAGTAGCAGCTGAGATGTTGTAAGACCAGTTTAACTTTTACTAGGTTGACCATGTTACTTATTTGCCTTCATAAGCCGAATGCTTTCATAACTTTAGAATAATACAATGATCATGGCACAACCATCCAGAAAGGTTGCTTTTCAAGGTAACGTTTAGAATTGTCTGCTGCTGCTTTTCACATTCAAAGATGTTTTTCTGTTGTTTCATCTCATCAGTGTTCAAAGGTGTGCTTGTCTGTTTTCACTCAGGTCTTCAGGTGGTATTAAAGTCCATTATGAAAGCCATGGTACCTCTGCTCCAGATCGGCCTGCTGCTCTTCTTTGCCATCCTCATGTTTGCGATCATCGGTCTGGACTTCTACATGGGCAGGTTCCATCAGACGTGCTTCTGGGTGGGCACAGGTAAACAAGATGCTGTCCTCACATTATTTCATAAACAGGAATGACCTTCATTAGTCACCAAGCTCCTGAACAGCTGTTATCAGCGCAGCCTGGAAAGCTTCCTTACCTATTGTTGCACTGTGGGGTACTCTGGCTGCACAGAGGAAGAACACAAAGACCTGCAACGGCTTGTGAGGACAGCTGAGGATTGTTTCTCCATTCAGGCCGGCTCCTCATAGGGGCCTCTAAAATCCTACAGGACCCCTCACATTTCAGGAACCCCCTCGTCATCACACTCATCACACAAACGACGATCTGGCATAGCGCGTCGCCTCCACATCGGTAACAAGCGCTTGGTCACCCACAGTCAGTTTTCAACGCTTTGGGTGTGAGAATGTGTTGGCATGGGAGGCACTGCAGCAATGTTGTTCATCTCATGGATGAACAATCCCTAAATTCTCCACTTCATAGTAACACTGATTATTTATTACCAAGGAGAAAATGCACTGGGTTTTACCCTATTACATTTAAATTTCATGGTTAAACAGTACATGTTAAAATCTAAGCTCAGCTCGGCAGTGACCTAAAATACATAAATATAATTTTACTTACCGGAAAAAATGAAGTGGAGACTCCTTGGACGCTCTATTAGTGCAATTAATGCCACAGCAAGTCATTTTGTCCAACAATTGCACAAAAATATCCAAACAAGAATACACAAACGCTTCAACGAATGGTCTAAGTTGAGAGACTGAAAATCCCGGAACAGTTTCCAGGCCAGACCGAGGCTCTACTGAGGCCTTTCCCCGGAGCTAGCTCTGTGGTCACGTGGCTCTGATGCTCATTAATTATACAGAATTTTAGGCTTTTAATACACTTAAACAGAAGAGTGAGAGAAACATTCACCCCCCTCAGAGTTGTCATGAGTGTAAACTAGATCATTTAAACCAAAAACATGTTCTGGTACCAGGCTGTAAACATGTTTATTTCTGCTGTGAAATTGTTTTTTTTAACATGGGAGTCAATGAGGATTTGCTCGCTTCTGACACCATCCCCTAGTGGATGAGGGTGGAACTGCAATTTGTGGTACCTCCGGGTTGGCCTCAATTTTTGAGCCGCATTGTGGGGGCTTGGTCGGAACATAAAACAGGGAAAATAACCTGAACATGCAGCTCTGGCAGCTGTGGAGTTGGGCTCGGCTCTGGACGGTACACCCCACCCCCACCCCCGCGCTGGCTATGCCGCCGCCGTAACACAGAGGGAAACCCCGGATTTAAAAAAAAAGTTACACAACTGATGCTGGATCAGCCAAAACCACTAAAACCGCAGCTTTGACGGTCACGTGATCGTGCTGTTTGAAATCGGTCCGAAACAGATAGACCGTTCGGCCCAACACAGAAGTTCTTACTTGATCTGACCACTCCAGAGGCTGAATGGTGTAAAAAGCAGGAATTTGTACCAAACTATACAGTCATCATGATTTAGTGTTCAAGAAAGGTGTTCAGGTGCAAAGTGTTCACATCTGATCTATATTATATTTTCCATCACCTGGAGTCACAAACAAGAAACTCATGTACCTGTGGTATCATGTACCTGTGGTATTATGTACCTGTGGTATTATGTACCTGTGGTATCATGTACCTGTGGTATCATGTACCTGTGGTATCATGTACCTGTGGTATTATGTACCTGTGGTATTATGTACCTGTGGTATTATGTACCTGTGGTATCATGTACCTGTGGTATTATGTACCTGTGGTATCATGTACCTGTGGTATTATGTACCTGTGGTATCATGTACCTGTGGTATCATGTACCTGTGGTATCATGTACCTGTGGTATCATGTACCTGTGGTATTATGTAACTGTGGTATTATGTACCTGTGGTATTATGTACCTGTGGTATCATGTACCTGTGGTATCATGTACCTGTGGTATTATGTACCTGTGGTATCATGTACCTGTGGTATCATGTACCTGTGGTATTATGTACCTGTGGTATCATGTACCTGTGGTATTATGTACCTGTGGTATCATGTACCTGTGGTATCATGTACCTGTGGTATTATGTACCTGTGGTATCACGTACCTGTGGTATTATGTACCTGTGGTATCACGTACCTGTGGTATTATGTACCTGTGGTATTATGTACCTGTGGTATTATGTACCTGTGGTATCATGTACCTGTGGTATCATGTACCTGTGGTATCATGTACCTGTGGTATTAGGTACCTGTGGTATCATGTACCTGTGGTATTATGTACCTGTGGTATTATGTACCTGTGGTATCATGTACCTGTGGTATCATGTACCTGTGGTATCATGTACCTGTGGGATCATGTACCTGTGGGATCATGTACCTGTGGTATTATGTACCTGTGGTATCATGTACCTGTGGTACCATGTACCTGTGGTATCATGTACCTGTGGTATCATGTACCTGTGGTATTATGTACCTGTGGTATTATCTACCTGTGGTATCATGTACCTGTGGTATTATGTACCTGTGGTATTATGTACCTGTGGTATCACGTACCTGTGGTATTATGTACCTGTGGTATCATGTACCTGTGGTATTATGTACCTGTGGTATCACGTACCTGTGGTATTATGTACCTGTAATATCATGTACCTGTGGTATCATGTACCTGTGGTATCATGTACCTGTGGTATTATGTACCTGTGGTATCATGTACCTGTGGTATCATGTACCTGTTGTATCATGTACCTGTGGTATTATGTACCTGTGGTATCATGTACCTGTGGTATCATGTACCTGTGGTATTATGTACCTGTGGTATTATGTACCTGTGGTATAATGTACCTGTGGTATTATGTACCTGTGGTATTATGTACCTGTGGTATCATGTACCTGTGGTATCATGTACCTGTGGGATCATGTACCTGTGGTATTATGTACCTGTGGTATTATGTACCTGTGGTATCATGTACCTGTGGTATCATGTACCTGTGGTATCATGTACCTGTGGTATCATGTACCTGTGGTATCATGTACCTGTGGTATTATGTACCTGTGGTATTATGTTCCTGTGGTATCATGTACCTGTGGTATTATGTACCTGTGGTATTATGTACCTGTGATATCACGTACCTGTGGTATTATGTACCTGTGGTATCATGTACCTGTGGTATTATGTACCTGTGGTATTATGTACCTGTGGTATTATGTACCTGTGGTATCACGTACCTGTGGTATTATGTACCTGTGGTATCATGTACCTGTGGTATCATGCACATGTGGTATCATGTACATGTGGTATTATGTACCTGTGGTATCATGTACCTGTGGTATCATGTACCTGTGGTATCATGTACCTGTGGTATTATGTACCTGTGGTATTATGTACCTGTGGTATTATGTACCTGTGGTATCATGTACCTGTGGTACCATGTAACTGTGGTATCATGTACCTGTGGTATCATGTACCTGTGGTATTATGTACCTGTGGTATTATCTACCTGTGGTATCATGTACCTGTGGTATCATGTACCTGTGGTATTATGTACCTGTGGTATTATGTACCTGTGGTATTATGTACCTGTGGTATCATGTACCTGTGGTATTATGTACCTGTGGTATCACGTACCTGTGGTATCACGTACCTGTGGTATTATGTACCTGTGGTATTATGTACCTGTGGTATCATGTACCTGTGGTATCATGTACCTGTGGTATCATGTACCTGTGGTATTATGTACCTGTGGTATTATGTACCTGTGGTATCATGTACCTGTGGTATTATGTACCTGTGGTATTATGTACCTGTGGTATCATGTACCTGTGGTATCATGTACCTGTGGGATCATGTACCTGTGGTATTATGTACCTGTGGTATTATGTACCTGTGGTATCATGTACCTGTGGTATTATGTACCTGTGGTATCATGTACCTGTGGTATTATGTACCTGTGGTATTATGTTCCTGTGGTATCATGTACCTGTGGTATTATGTACCTGTGGTATTATGTACCTGTGGTATTATGTACCTGTGGTATCACGTACCTGTGGTATTATGTACCTGTGGTATCATGTACCTGTGGTATTATGTACCTGTGGTATCATGTACCTGTGGTATCATGTACCTGTGGTATCATGTACCTGTGGTATCATGTAACTGTGGTATTATGTACCTGTGGTATTATGTACCTGTGGTATCATGTACCAGTGGTATCATGTACCTGTGGTATTATGTACCTGTGGTATTATGTACCTGTGGTATTATGTACCTGTGGTATCACGTACCTGTGGTATTATGTACCTGTGGTATCATGTACCTGTGGTATTATGTACCTGTGGTATTATGTACCTGTGGTATCACGTACCTGTGGTATTATGTACCTGTGGTATCATGTACCTGTGGTATCATGTACCTGTGGTATTATGTACCTGTGGTATTATGTACCTGTGGTATTATGTACCTGTGGTATTATGTACCTGTGGTATTATGTACCTGTGGTATCATGTACCTGTGGTATCATGTACCTGTGGTATCATGTACCTGTGGTATTATGTACCTGTGGTATCATGTACCTGTGGTATCATGTACCTGTGGTATTATGTACCTGTGGTATTATGTACCTGTGCTATTATGTACCTGTGCTATTATGTACCTGTGGTATCATGTACCTGTGGTATCATGTACCTGTGGTATCATGTACCTGTGGTATTATGTACCTGTGGTATCATGTACCTGTGGTATTATGTACCTGTGGTATTATGTACCTGTGGTATTATGTACCTGTGGTATCATGTACCTGTGGTATCATGTACCTGTGGTATTATGTACCTGTGGTATCATGTACCTGTGGTATCATGTACCTGTGGTATTATGTACCTGTGGTATCATGTACCTGTGGTATTATGTACCTGTGGTATCATGTACCTGTGGTATTATGTACCTGTGGTATTATGTACCTGTGGTATCATGTACCTGTGGTATCATGTACCGGTGGTATTATGTACCTGTGGTATCATGTACCTGTGGTATCATGTACCTGTGGTATTATGTACCTGTGGTATTATGTACCTGTGGTATCATGTACCTGTGGTATCATGTACCTGTGGTATCATGTACCTGTGGTATCATGTACCTGTGGTATTATGTACCTGTGGTATCATGTACCTGTGGTATCATGTACCTGTGGTATTATGTACCTGTGGTATTATGTACCTGTGGTATCATGTACCTGTGGTATCATGTACCTGTGGTATTATGTACCTGTGGTATTATGTACCTGTGGTATCATGTACCTGTGGTATCACGTACCTGTGGTATTATGTACCTGTGGTATCACGTACCTGTGGTATCACGTACCTGTGGTATTATGTACCTGTGGTATCACGTACCTGTGGTATTATGTACCTGTGGTATCACGTACCTGTGGTATTATGTACCTGTGGTATCACGTACCTGTGGTATTATGTACCTGTGGTATCATGTACCTGTGGTATCACGTACCTGTGGTATCATGTACCTGTGGTATTAGGTACCTGTGGTATCATGTACCTGTGGTATCATGTACCTGTGGTATTATGTACCTGTGGTATCATGTACCTGTGGTATTATGTACCTGTGGTATTATGTACCTGTGGTATCATGTACCTGTGGTATCATGTACCTGTGGTATCATGTACCTGTGGTATTATGTACCTGTGGTTTTATGTACCTGTGGTATCATGTACCTGTGGTATTATGTACCTGTGGTATTATGTACCTGTGGTATTATGTACCTGTGGTATCATGTACCTGTGGTATCATGTACCTGTGGTATCATGTACCTGTGGTATTATGTACCTGTGGTATTATGTACCTGTGGTATCATGTACCTGTGGTATTATGTACCTGTGGTATCATGTACCTGTGGTATCATGTACCTGTGGTATTATGTACCTGTGGTATCATGTACCTGTGGTATTATGTACCTGTGGTATCATGTACCTGTTGTATCATGTTCCTGTGGTATCATGTACCTGTGGTATCATGTACCTGTGGTATTATGTACCTGTGGTATTATGTACCTGTGGTATCATGTACCTGTGGTATCATGTACCTGTGGTATTATGTACCTGTGGTATCATGTACCTGTGGTATTATGTACTTGTGGTATCATGTACCTGTGGTATCATGTTCCTGTGGTATCATGTACCTGTGGTATCATGTACCTGTGGTATTATGTACCTGTGGTATTATGTACCTGTGGTATCATGTACCTGTGGTATTATGTACCTGTGGTATCATGTACCTGTGGTATCATGTACCTGTGGTATTATGTACCTGTGGTATCATGTACCTGTGGTATTATGTACCTGTGGTATCATGTACCTGTGGTATTATGTACCTGTGGTATCATGTACCTGTGGTATCATGTACCTGTGGTATTATGTACCTGTGGTATCATGTACCTGTGGTATCATGTACCTGTGGTATCATGTACCTGTGGTATTATGTACCTGTGGTATCATGTACCTGTGGTATTATGTACCTGTGGTATCATGTACCTGTGGTATCATGTACCTGTGGTATTATGTACCTGTGGTATCATGTACCTGTGGTATTATGTACCTGTGGTATCATGTACCTGTGGTATCATGTACCTGTGGTATCATGTACCTGTGGTATCATGTACCTGTGGTATTATGTATCTGTGGTATCATGTACCTGTGGTATCATGTACCTGTGGTATTATGTACCTGTGGTATTATGTACCTGTGGTATCATGTACCTGTGGTATCATGTACCTGTGGTATCATGTACCTGTGGTATCATGTACCTGTGGTATTATGTACCTGTGGTATCATGTACCTGTGGTATCATGTACCTGTGGTATTATGTACCTGTGGTATCATGTACCTGTGGTATCATGTACCTGTGGTATTATGTACCTGTGGTATCATGTACCTGTGGTATCATGTACCTGTGGTATTATGTACCTGTGGTATTATGTCTAATTAAGGAAACCTTGAGAAATTGAAACAGCAGATGTAAATTTCTGCCTGTTTATTTTTGGTCCCTTAACTCTGCTCATCCTGTTGAAACTATTCCTCCTCACACTTTGTGCCCCTCATGGCTCGCTTTACTAAAGATCACCTGTAGGTGCACCACACAACACATTCACAGCTCTCTTAAGTCTTTCCATTTTTGGTTCTTTTTAAAACACAGAAAAGGTTTTTCTTTATCTTGCTGATGTTTCGTTTGCAGTTGTAAACATCCTCAGAGCTGACGCCGATGGTGGCGTCACTTCCTACTTCGTTTATCTGCGGGCAGCAGAGGACGTTGTCGCCCTCTGCTGCCCGCTCTCCCCTCTCAGACGATGCAGTCCCATGCAAGATCCAGCGTGTAAACTCCATCGTCCCTGTTCATGGTCCCACATCCACGTCTCCTTATCTCGATTGCTTCTTTTATCTTTTGTTGTTCGGTGGTTATGATCCGTGTGTTGTCCCAGTCCATTATATGGTTTTCTCTTAAGCAGTGATCTGTTACGGCTGACTTCTTTATTGTGCTTTCTGCTTCTTCTTTTGCTGCTCTTGTGTGTCTTCGATTTGCCTCTTTTTCGCACTCCTTTCTGTGTTCTATTGTCCGTGTGTTGAGTTGGCGTCCGGTTTCTCCTATGTATGTTTTATTGCAGAGTTTGCATGGGATTTTGTAAACAACTCCACATTTAAGTCCAGCTGGTATCTTGTGTTTTGGGTGTACTAGTCTGTTTCTAACTGTTGTGTATGGTCTTGTTGGTGTGTTTATGTTGTGTTTTTTCATTGTTGCTCTTATTTTTTCTGTTATGCCTCTGATGTATGGTAGGGTTATCACTGGTTCTGTTTCTTGTCTTTCTGGGTTTCTGGTTCTTTGCTTTGGTTGTTCTTTTCTTTCTGTTGTTGTTTGTTGTTTACCTTTGTTTATTGCCCATGTCGGGTATGCGCAGGTCTTTAAAGCGTGTTGTATGTGTTTGTCCTCTTGTTTACGGTCTCTCTCTTCTGTTATCATGTTTGCTCGGTGATATAATGTTCTGATTACTGACATGTTGTGTATGGTGGGGTGTTCTGATGTCCATAATAGATATGGGTCTGTGTGTGTTGGTTTCCTGTGTGTGTTTATGTTTAGGGTCCCGTCGGTCTGCCTGGTGATTTTCATGTCCATAAATGCTATGCTGCCTTCTGTTTCTGACTCATAAGTGAATTTTATGTTGCCCGTGTCGTCAATGTTGTTTAAGTGTTGTGTTAGTGTTTCTGTTTGACCTTTTGGTATGATTGCCAGTATGTCGTCTACGTAGCGTTTCCATAGTTTTATTTTGCAGTTTGGGGGGGGGGGGGGGGGGGGGGGGGGGGTATGGCATTTTGTTCTAGGTCTTCCATGAAAAACTCGCACAGGGTGGCTGATAACGGGTTACCCATGGCGAAGCCTTCCAGTTGTTTGTATATTGTGTTGTCGTATGTGAAGTAAGTGGAGTTAGCTACCAGTATTCTGCCCTCACTAGAGGATGAAGCTGGGTTCTAGCTTGGCAGATAGCTGAACAGGTCCACGATAAACATCCAGGAGTCAGCAGGGACGTTTTAGATATTTACTGTAGAAGGCACTGTAAAACTGCAATACAGAAATACAATAAATGAATAATGTTACATTTGTGATGTATTCATATGTATTTTATACTAATAAACACTTAATAATAAACTTTCATGCACTTTATGTGTATTTCATAAACATATAATAAAACACTCAAGTTTTTTTTCTCCCAAGAACCTAGCGGTTAGCTCAATGCTAAGAAGATATGTAAAATCCCATAGACGGGCTAACGCATTAGCATCGCGATCGTTTTTACTAGAGTTAAAAACTTCCACACACAAGATTCTCAACTGTTACATGAAACTATAATAAATACGCTCAACGGAACAAACATATATGACTTACAGGCATGTGCTCTTTCAGGCTTAGCAAGAAAGATGAACCAATATGCAGAAAATATAACAGTTAGCTTAACGGTCATCTCCAGTTGAGAATAACTATGGCAAGTCTACCGGTACAAATTACGTACGCACGCACACACAGAGCTAAATTTACAATTCTGCCTTAAAGGGGCAGCACAACCAGTCCTATCATTTGTGCTGTCATCTGCTGTGAGGTTTGTTCTTTTGTGTAAAGAGAGCGGGCAGCAGAGGGCGACAACGTCCTCTGCTGCCCGCGGACGTACGGAGGAGGAAGTGACGCCACCATCGGCGTCAGCTCTGAGGATGTTTGCAGATGCAAACGAAACTGTCAGCAAGGTAAAGAGAAACCTTTTCTGTGTTTTAAAAAAGAACCAAAAATGGAATTAGAAGCCAAACACAGAAAGAACGTACCAAAGATCTCTTAAGTCTTGTTGTCTAAGTGTTTTTATGTATTTAACAGTGTGAGAATGTGTGTGTCTGTGGTTGTAGATGAGCCTGCAGCAGACTTCCCTTGTGGCCTTGAGGCTCCAGCGAGGATCTGTGGAAACGGGACCGTCTGCAGGGAATATTGGCTCGGACCGAACTTTGGCATCACCAATTTCGACAACATCCTTTTTGCTATTCTCACCGTTTTCCAGTGCATCACCATGGAGGGATGGGTGGATATTCTCTACAACGTGAGTTCATCTGCACTAACTGTCTCTCCTGATACACGTGATGTTTTGAACCAGATGTTTGGCTGAATCTTTTGTTAGCAGTTGAGTTTGGGAACATGTTCAAATTGTAAGCAACACAGCAGTGGAGCCCTCAGCTTCCTGTAAGGGGATAGAGAATCCTCACTAGTTTGTCACCAACAGATTCAGCCGTGTGAGGTACTGAGCTACAGAGAGATGGGAGGCTTTTGTAAAAGTAATGAGGTCAATTATTCACATCAAAAACAAAAGAAGTCCAGTTTTCTCTTTTGTTGGAACATAAAGATCCAGATCCCAGAGAAAAGACTGAACACGTGAGAAACTGACAAATACATTTCACCAAATATAACCAAAATACATTTAACTATTCACACGATGCTTAGTTTACCGCAAACAAATCCGTTAGCTTGTGAGGCTTCAAACGTTCAATCATATCCTGTTTAGTCGTGATTTTATGAGCTTCTCTTCCTTTCTGTTCCTCCCAGCTCTCTCTCTCTCTCTCTCTCTCTCTCTCTCTCACACACACACACACACACACACCCACACACACACACACACACACACACACACACACACACACACACACCCACACACACACACACACACACACACACACACACACACACACACACACACACACACACACACACACACACACACACACACACACACACACACACCCACACACACACAGGGATCTGTGATGATTGATACACACAGAAAAACTGGCTCTGTCCCTGCGTTTTGCTTGAGGCAGCTTAATGGAGTGGATGGTTAAAGTTTATGAACTTTATTTATTTAACAGAAAGGAGTCTCAGTAGCATGTGGAGAAACTACACACACACACAACCTGGTTCCTCCTCCTTCTCACCCTGGTCGTTGGTCTGACCACGCTCTGCAGTGGGCTTCTGCAGCCAGTGTGGTTGTGCTGGTCACTAAAGCCTAGTTTATTATACTAGTTCCTGTGGCGGCTGGTGAATTATGTTTTTGGTGGGCAGCATTCATGGTGTATGTTAGACGTTAGATGCGCTAACCACATACCACCACTAGGGAACACCAATTTACCATTCTTATGATAGGACCCATGTCGTCTAACTCAACAATGACGCTGAAGAAAGGCGGTAGAGAAAAACACACAGTAGCAACAATGCAACATGATCCTATCCGCAGAAGCAGAGCTTAACTCAGAGCCCACGCTCTCCTCTCTACAACAATAGAAGCACCATTACTCTACCAGCAAAACTCAGCAGCAAAACAAACAAAGCTAAATTCATGAAGTCAAAAGCATAAATTCAGTCTCACCTTTGCTGGTCATAATAATCCATGTTATAGTAAATAAATTCTTGTTTCGTTTAATTCTATGGCTGTCATGTTCCTGGGCAGAGGTGAGTCACACCCTCTCCTCTCACCAGACTCTGAGCTAATTCTCCACAGGTGAGGAGCAGGGGGAGCGGCAGCTGCAGGAGATTTCCCAATCAGGGACGCGGGTTCAAAAGGAGGATGGAGACACATCACTTTGCCGGATGATTGCACCAGTTTAGGTAGCACCAGCCACTCGACTCTGAACTTTGATCTTGTTAATTCGTGTTTTGACTCGCCTTCGACTAGTGGATTTATGACCTTGGATTGTATTTTGGATTTGGAATTGGATTATCCCTTACGCCTGTTTTTGTCTCGCTCAGGATCATCTCATCATCTACTCACCCTCGCTGTCTTCGTTTTCTGGAACATACTCATCACGTCCCATCCTCCTCCGCCGTTCCTGTTTGGCTTTCCCTCTGCTACCTCACCCCTCCTGGATCTCTCATCCTCTGCCCAGCGTCCTCCCCGGCTTCCCCTCCTCTACTGATTAACCTGAGCACCTCAGAGACTCGAGCCGTATTGCTCATCCCACAGGACTTCCCTGTGCGGTTTCAGTTCCCGTTTTTATAATAAAGACATTTTTCTTTACTGCTTTGGACTACGTGTGCTGATTCTGCATGTCTTGGGTTAGACACTTACCTCGAGCCATGACAGAATCATCCGGCAAAGTGATGTGTCTCCATCCTCCTTTCTAACCCGCGTCCCTGATTGGGAAATCTCCTGCAGCTGCCGCTCCCCCTGCTCCTCACCTGTGGAGAATTAGCTCAGAGTCTGGTGAGAGGAGAAGGTGTGACACCTCTGCCCAGGAACATGACAATGGCCCAACTTCACACTGAGCTGATTTCTGACTTGTGTTTTTGTACCTGCTGGAGATTTTACAAGTTTCTGATGCCACATTTCATCATTTACCACATCTTCATAATAAAAGAAACTCCACGGGGTGTACTCAGCTGCTCTACAACAGCACAGGATGGTGAGCTGTGGAGAATTTCCGATTCTGTCCTGACCTGATCAGAGACTCCGCCCTGCCGGTCTTCTGCGTGTGTTTTCGTGGTTACAATACCTCTGCGCCCATAGGCTCTCCTATTCTTTTTATTGTAGGGGGGCATCCAGCATGCATGCAGCAGTTAAAGCATAGGTTAATGGTAGAGATTGCTACCCTGGCCTGCCAGACTCCTCCTCTGTTTAATTCTGCACAGAGAAAGGCTCTGGGAACTCTCCTGTTTAAATAACCCCGCCCCCTGAGAACTCTGACCGAGCCAATCAGCGCTGAGCAGCGTTCGTCACACACCACAACGCCGAGTTTGTCATAAACATGGCGACTAAAGCAGCCTTCACTGCGGCCCTTTCCTCTGTTCTAAGTGACTCGGACACATCTTTAAAACAACAAGTAGAAGCACTAAAACCTTTCTTCTAAACAAAGATGTCTGCGCCGTCGCCAGACGCCATTTTTCATTACAGCTAAAAAACTACAGCGTCGCGCGGTACAGTCGGCATTGCCGTCTCTTTTCTGATTGGTTCTTTTTGAGCTGCCTAGTCCCGCCCCTCATGTGCCTCTCTGCCTGTGAGTAACCAGACAGTCCAGGCTGAGAGATTGCTGTACCCAAAAGGAACAGGAAATACGTCACAAAACGGCTAGGTTGGGCTGAAAGTGTGAAATAACATTTTATACTACACCTAAATTCAGATTATACGCAGCACAGCAGAATATCCTCTGGGTCAACAGAGGGTCTTGTGCCCCCACGTCCGCTTAGAGAAGTTTTTATAGCAGTTGCACTATAGATTTTGCACATGATCGACGTCGGTTTGGATTCTTGTTTTGTGCCGACAGATTAAAACAAAAAGGTTGTTCACCTGCTCTAAAGAGTCCCGGGATGCCTCGGCGCTAGCTAACTACAGGCCGGTTCGTTAAGCTCCTTCTTTTAAAAAGGTGCACTCAGCAACTGGACTTTTTTAACAAGTTGAACATTTTAAAGACCTTCCAGTCAGGTTTTAAAATGTTGCACAGCACTGAACCTGCCCTGATAAAGGCTTTCAATGACCTTCTTTAGCCGCAGATGGGGCCAGTCCAGTGCTGCTGGTGCGGCTGGATCTCACAATAGCATTTGATACTCTGGACCAGGGAGCGCTGCTCCGTCATCTTGAGCATCATGTGGGAATTGTTGGTCAAGTCCTGAACTGGTTTAGATTTTATCTCCATGACAGGATGGTTTGTGTAAGTATGGGTGTGTTTTCTTCTGTCTTCTCTCAACTGCCCTGGGGGGTACCGCAGGGATACTGGTACCCCAGTAGTTTTGATTTACTATCTGCCAATGAGTGACATCCTACAACTGTATGGAATTGGCTTCAGCCTTTATGCCGACGACTGCTAATTGTGTCTACCTTGATGGCGCCGGAGACCACATGATAAGTAATTTAACTGTTTGGCAGAAGTCAAGGCATGGATGGCAGAACACTTCCAGTGTCTCAATGAAAAAAAATGAAAATGAAAAAGAAATAAATTGAGGCAGTGCTGAGTGGACCAAGTGGACACTTTCATTTTTCTAGTGGAGACTGTGGTGAATTGAATTCCTACCTGGGTGCTCTGCAGTCAGTCTTTGACGTGCAGATGGACAGCACATCCTGCTTGGATGCCCATGTTGGTGTTAGGGTTACTATTCTCTTCATTTTACCACTTAAGACGCTTTCTAAAGTAAAGCTGTTTTTATCCACACGGGACCTTGAAACTGTTGTTCGTGCTTTTATTGCCATTGCAAGTAACCGTCAGCAGCACGTTACTGCAGCAGCACGTCATAGCTGCTGATAGGAACCGCTGTGGTCAACAGAACCTTTTCCACCGGAGCCGTCAGCAGCGCGAGTCGGCCGCGTCTCAGGAGCAGCATGTCGCGGCCTTTACGCGCCGGTTCTATTTTCTACGCGCGACGCCTCTGAAACGGGTCAAGTTCGACATTTTTGGGGAAGGAAAGACAGGAAATCGGACGCGGAAATGGAGAGAAGCTCCCGAGATTTTCAGAATAAAGAAACGTACTTCCTTCCGGTTGCTTTACTTTAAAAACAGTTACTAACTGTGCGTCCCCGTGAGAAGTTATCACCTAGCTAGCGGTCTCCTTTGTTTTTCAGGTCCGTATTGGCGATTATAAAACGGACAGAACATAAAACACAAACCTTTTGGAGCCATGTTGTAGTTTTCTCCTGCTTGTTGTTGTGTTTACTGACGAAGTCACTCGTGTGACTTCGTGCTCGGTCGGTGACAGCTGCTCCCCTGCTGCTTCGCGTCTCGTGGGAAGGGCCAAGCAGCAGCTTACGCGAGAAAGACGTGCTGCTGCAGTAACGTGCTGCTGACGGCTCCGGTGGAAAGCAGGGGTCTGGGTACTGTAGCACGACTGCAGCTTGTTCAGAATCCTGCAGCAAGATTCTTGGACATGACACCAATCTCGGCTGCTCTCCATTGGTTACCTGTAGATGTGTTTAAAACATGTTTTAATGATGGTAAAGGTGTTGACTGGACTGGCTCCAGCCTATTTGACGGAGTTGTTGCAGCCATATGCTCCGTCTCGGACACTCCGTTCAGGGAACCAGCTGATGCTTGTGGCTGCCACAGCTCGGCTGAAGACAAAAGGGGGTAGTTAGTCTAAAGACCTACAGTAGGTGCAGAAAGTACCTGTTGGGTAATTTTATCATTCCAGGGTTACTTTAGGGAAAGTTCAAAGCACAGGGGGTTATAGTAATCAGTTGATCAAAACCAATACCAATAATCAATGTCACGAAACGGTGTTGGTAGGACCCAAAATGCAGGAACCCAAGATGACACGAGGCAGGTGATAATATAAAGAAAAATCCTTTATTTTGAAGGATGAGTCCAAAAAATAAGAATAAATCCACAGGAGCTGGAAGTCAAAACTCCAATAAGTCCAAAATGAAAACTAGAGACAAAACACTAGAGACTAGAGAGGGCTGAGATCAAACTACTAGAGACTAGAGCAGAACTGACAGAATAACCACAATGGACCGACACAAGACAGAGACAAGGCAGGGCTTAAATACACAGGGAGGAGTAATTAGGGAAAATGGCAGCAGGTATGTGGGGTGAGGGCTGGAGGGAAGACAGGTGACAATAATTTATCTAAATGGGGGAAACAGAACCAAAGGAGGACAGATAAACCTAAAACACAAAAACTAAACCTAAAGACTGAGGGAAGGACTCACACACACACACACACACTGACACACATAAACTCACACCTACATACACTGAACTGGGGAATCGACATGCATACACACACACACACACACACACTGAGCTGAGGACAAAGAGGCTGGAGCTGACCTGGCAGGAATGATTAAAATGGTAACAACATAAGACACTTTAACTGAGACGCAGACAAAAGACACATGGGGGCGCTATGAGACACAGAAGGGATTCTAGAGAGGGATGGAGAACATCAGGAGACACATGAAGGAAGACACAGACGCAGACCATGACAATCAACCATCAATCAATTTAGACTTTGCAAAGTGGAGAGGAAAAGATACACACCAGTCGGTTGTCAGTTTCACTCTCATCAGACAGAGTCCTCCGAAAGTATTTATTGAACACACACACAAAAGATAGACGCACACACATTTCGAGACTCTCAGGCAGGAAGCTGTAAAAGACACACCAGGCGCATCAACAAAGCAGTCTGGACTTTCTCAAGGGAGTTTTACTGATAAGAGGTCAGTGCCAAGGCGAGGTCAATCCTCCCTGTAAGATCTGCAAGAGCCTGTCTGTTACCAGAGAGAAATAAATGGATGTAGCTTCGTTTAAAATCACCAGATGTTAAACAGTCAGGACAAAGTTTATATATATATATATAAAGAAGTATTAAACCCTCAGATGAAAAAGGTTTCTGGATTTTCATGGCTGGAATTTGAAGAAAATCTGGTGACTAGCACAGCAAAATTAGAAACTAGCTTCCGGTCTAAGCCCTGGGCAGCTGTGACGTTTCACAAGGAGGTCTGCAGAAACAGCTGTAGTAAACAACCCCCGACTCCCATGTTTCATTTTTCATTTCATTTCTGTGCTCCACCGGTGAGCTCTGAGCTGACCACAGGTCTACAGATCATACTGTCCCAATATAATTCAGTAATCTACAGATAAATTAAAGAATGTGCTGCCAGTTTTACAGCTGCTAACTCTGGAAAATCTTTAACTGATAGCTTAGCAGAATACATCTTGAGTAACTCGCTAGCTCGTCTCGTCGTTTGTGCTAATCCAGGTTGGCTCGGAGGTTCTACTGGTCCGCGGAGGATCTATTGTTGAAATATGGGGATCATCTTTTAGATTATGTCTGTGTGTGTGTGTGTGTGTGTGTGTGTGTGTGTGTGGTAGCTTTCCCAAATGACTTATTTTTTCCTTACTGGAGCTAAAACGGTTAACAGTGTTGCTGCAGTCATGCTAACGGGACTCGGAGTCCAGAACTACCGGTGCGGTTCCAGATGGTTTTCATTTAAATTGCAGTACAACATATGTGTGATCCAGGGTCTAAGGCAAAGCGGATTAGAAATAACGTTTTTAGCCCCGTTGACTTGCATTCATTTTTTCCTCCTTCCAGGGACCCAAGGTGCGGAAGTGACTTAGGCTCCCTATGGGCGTTTAGTTTAATTTTTGTGTGTTTTTAATATATTTTGTGATTCCTATCTTTTTCTTTTCCCGTGAGACTTGTGGGGCGGCGTCCTGGTGCCCCCTATGGACGAGCTGACTAGTTCGATCCATGCTATGGAGGAAACGTGTTAAAATACGTCAACACGGTGGATTTAATAGCAGCTTAAAGAACAAACTCTGGACGGTGTGAGGAGAGTTTGTCTCACTGCAGAAATAAAAACACACACGGAGCGTCAGCAGTCAGACGCAGCCGCTCACCAACACTCGTGTGTGTGAGCGTGAGCGTCAGAGGGCTGATCAATAAGCTGTAGAATAATAAAAGTCATCATGCTAGAGAAGCTTTCTCTGTGGTGGACCACACCAGCTTCTGCCACTAGGAGCTGAAGATAATAATAATAAGAATAATAATAATAATAACTCAGTTCAATTCAATTCAAATTCAAAAATACTTTATTAATCCCAGAGGGAAATTAGAGTTTCAGTACACCACAACAACAACAACTCCATCCATCCATCCATCCATCCATCCATCCATCCATCATCCAAAATAATCTCACAACACAAATTTGTGACATGTTTAATTGCCTTTTTGAACTATTTCGTCTGTTGACAGTTTTAACGTTTTAAATCTGTTAGATTGTTAGCAGCAGCTACATTTATGTTCAATCAATCAAATTTTATTGGAGGGGAAAGCGGTGTTCTACTGTTGGTAGTTTATAGTGGGGACAGTGTGCCGCCGACCTCTAATCGGGACGTTGTGGATCGGTGGGCGGATCACTTCAAAGACCTCCTCAACCTCACCGGCACGTCTTCCAGTGAGGTAGCAGAGCTTGGGAACTTTGAGTTGAACTCTCCTATCTCTGGATCAGAGATCACTGAGGTGGTCAAAAAGCTCCTCTTTGGCATCTGGGGGTGGATGAGATCCGTCCAGAGTTCCTTAAGGCTGTGCTGGCTGCAATATCGCGTGGACATCGGGGGCAGTTCCACTGGACTGGCAGACCTGGGTGGTGGTCCCCTTATTTAATAAACGGGGACCACAGGGTGTGTTCCAACTACAGGGGATCACACTTCTGAGCCTCCCTGGTAAAGTCTATTCAGGGGTTCTGGAGAGAAGGGATTGTCGAACACACACACACACACGCACGCACGCACGCACACACACACACACGCACACACACACACACACACACACACACACACACACACACACGGTCTCGGTCTACTTTGAATTACTGAAACCTGTTCTCATTTTTCCAGTTTCACGTGTGCATCCTGTGTTTCAGTACTGGTTTCCCATCTTTGTGGCACCCTAACCGAGGTTTTAGTGGCTTTCAAACTGATTATTTTAGAATCAGAATTGGGCTTCTAATGGTTTGTTATTGTTCTCTGTGCCCTGTTGTTTCTACGGAGCAGCACCTTCATCCCGACATGAGCTAACGCACCAGCAGTCTGCACCCTCTTCCACCTCAGAGCTACATTACTGCTATTTATTTCACCTCTACTGCTCGGGGACTTCTCACAGGGACTCACAATCTTCAGAGTAACATAGATCATATAACCCCTTCCCATATTACTGCTCCACTTAGTGTTCTGTGCTGTCTAACAGATGCTGGCATAATTCAGTCAAAAGAAATTACAACTATTGATCTTGCAGTTATGTACAGCATAGCATGCTATGAACTTAAAGAATAATTTCCTTCAGTTGTTTTTTAAAGATGTAGAATAAAATCACAGCAATAAAAATTGCAATAATATAGTTAGTCTTAAGGCATTAACTACCATCTGATGCCCTCTCTCCCCCTCACTGTTTGCTATCTTTGTCAAACCACTAGCAGCAGCAATTAGGCAAACAACAGATATTAAAGGCATTAAATGTAAGAAAATAGAACATAAGATCAGTCTTTATGCAGATGATGTTTTACTCTTTCTCCAGAACTCTCAATCCTCTCTCTCTCTCATTCAATATAACTGATGAACTCTTTTTCAAGAGTTTCAGATTACTCTATAAACTGGTTAAAATCCACAGTTCTACCAATTAATTTCTCTTTTGTCAATTTGCTTAATACACAATTGGAGTCAGGG